GAACTGGGATTAGCCTTATTGTGGACTGGGAAAATGGGATTTACTCACTGGGACTGGGATTTAGCCACTGGGAATGGGATGAACAATTATAAAATGGGAATGGGATTTCTTTTCTTCAGCAGTCTTTGCTCCAATATTTTGAAATAGAAAAATAAAATTTCGTAGCAATAGACCTTGCACTCCTCAGTAGAGACCATGAAATCAGTATTTTACGCCTTCGCCCCCGCGGTCTAGCTACCAGGCTTACACGGTTGCATAGTTACGTGTATCCAAATAGCGTCAATCAGTGCTTTTAATTTATTATGCGCATGATTTTGCAAATAATCATTAGTAATGGGATTTTAGATTTGGTAACTGGGATTTTGGCAAAAATTAGCCTGGGAACTGGGATTTGGGCCAAATTTAGGCTGGGAACTGGGATTTGGTACCCCCCTTCACGACCCTCTCTTAACAATAACAACCGAGCGAGTTTTGAGAAGGCCTCGGTGCTCAAGCGTAATATAATTATACTTATCTTGTCAAGTGAAAAAGAAAAGGGAAGAAAGAAAAAAAGACGAGTTTACACAGGCATTTCATGATGACACCACAGGACAGAAAAAAAATTAAGTAAAAATTTTATTTGATAACATTCCTCCTAAATACTTGTATTTACAAGGTTTCAAGGTAAAACATATCTTAGGTAATAAAATAATCCATGAGCAAACTCTATTCAGACTGGTTTTTAACCAACATATTTCAGTTAAATTGGTAAAGAAAGAAAGCAAAAGAGGAACCGCATCAGCACTTCATCATGCAAAAATATACTTATCTGAAACAAACAGCGATTGAAAGTGTGCATACTCGATAAAGTTTTATAAGCGCCTCACTCAGGCTAGCAGAATTAATGGCTCGCTCATTCTGTTGTCGCTTTTTTTTCTATATTGCTTCAAGATCTGAAGATAATTCTGTTCGGTGAGCAAGGAGTTCAAATAGTACTTCAGTTGAAATAAGTCGCAAGTCTACATTTAGAGACAGAGAGTCGTTGAACATCCAGTGATCCCATTGTAGATGTACGTGTTGTTAAACGGGACAAACTGGTGAGTGATAAGCTTTACGATTTCTTGGGCTGCCGCACCTGAGCAATAAATATAAAAAAACGATGTTAATTCTCCATTTCAGACACGAGAAGGAACAGCAGTATAGGAGCTGCTCGTAAGGTGTTTCCTCATTGGTCGCAGAAAACAATAACACATCATTGTTTATAATTACTTCTCACTGTTTCACGGTTAGGGTATCGAACCAGTTGGCTTTTAGGGTTAGGAGAGCTGCCAGAAGGAATCTGGGGCTCGTTTCTCGAAAGTCCCGATAATTAACGGGCCCGTAAAGCTGTTTTGGTTTACATGAAAGATAGAGGTTTCAGTAGTTTTGCATTTAACATGATAAAACTATCAGTTAAAGAAACAAAATGGAGTAGTTTGCTAGCCAGGAACCGCACTCTTATTCTTTATATTTCGATTTGAATATTTGATTTCGGGCCCGAAAAGTTACCGGGACTTTCGAGAAACGGGCCCCAGGGCCGATTTAACGTTCGCAAAGACTTCTGGGTACACGGGGATAAAATAGCCAATCGACCAACAGCTGATCTTACAGCTGATCGGCGTGTCTCCGATAACGAAACAATTGCGGGCCACATTTCGGCTCCAGTTCCCTTCTCGTTTCTATGTGGCGAATATTAAAAATGTCCATTTCATACGCGAAAAGAGACCTATAGCTTCACAAATAATCTTAGCATCGTACTGTTGCCACGACCAACCTTGAAAGATAATAGTGAACTTACGCAACAGGACGGGAGAGTAAAGAAGATGTCAAACCTTGTGTGACAACCGTGAAATAACTTTTCGCCAAACATCACTTTCCTTTAAACAGATCTTTTTGTAAAAACCACAAAACATTAATCCTAAGTGAAGATCACAACATAACATGCAAGTTATAGCCCTATCACGTTTGTCACGCACAAACATTTTGCTGTCCCCTTCTTCCTGCCGTCCTGTTGCGTAAACTCACTAATGTCAAGTGGTAACGGGAAAACTAAGAACAATATTTATATCTTCCTGTGCTATTTTACTTTACAAAATCTTGCGCCCAAAAAGTGTATTCGAGTAGATATTCTTAGAAACTGGAATGTCACGTTAAAATCAGATGCTGCGACTGATGAAAGCATTTGAAAACTGAATTTCACGTTTGTATCCGTTACTTGTTCTTGCGCATGATTTTCCAGAAAATGTGATGAGGTGGGTTGCACCTAAATATAAAATGTCCCGTACAATTCAGCAGATTTTCCCACTATTCCAACAGTGAGGCGTAGGCAGGGGTATGAGTTTTCGAAAAGACACCGTTTCAGGAGACACTTTTTTTTGCAATTTTGTTTTTTTCCCTTCCCTCAAAAGCATTTTTTGGCACAATCTGTGTCTTGTCTCACCTCCAATAAAGGCTGCAACAGAATGCAACTCGCTGGCTCCGTATCGACACCTAAAAAAGACAATGCACATTCTAAACACTGTCCGGCATTTTTCTCTTATGGTGCTTATGAGGAGAAGTTATTTAATAGCCAAGACATTCATTTTATATAGGAAGGTAATTTCTTTAATGAAGGAAATTGAAAATTCGCAAGTTCCCTTTGACATTTTATTTTAAAATGCTATAAAAAACACAACTAAATTGTATAAAACAAAACTATAGGGCAAAATAGAGAAAGCTCGAAGCGGAAGACTGTTCCCATCGTAAATAAATTAATAAAATGGCCTTTTCGAGTTTTTGGCAAATTTTGGTCAGTTTCTTCTATTCAAATGCTATTTAAGGGAGTACTGCCCCCTGCCCCCCGCCCCCCACCCCCCGGGACCAGAACATGTTCAGAAATCTTGTTCAGATGATTTTGCATATTATCAGAATAAAACAAGTTCTTACACCTTCGACTTAAAAATCAGCAAGTATATAATACCCTACAAAACCAGATAAAAGAAAGTATAAAATTAATTCACCTTGTATAATTATTCCTCCAATCATAACTGGAATTAACTTACAGCATTTGAAAATAACCTACAAAAGTAATATTATCAAGAATTCAGTCATACAAAGAAATAAACTCAATCAAATGATGAAAGTTAAGGTTTATCCTGCAGGTCTGATCCACGTTATTATACCAGGTCACAACAAGCTCCTTCCTTCTCACAGCCCTCTCGCTCCTTTGTTTGTTGCTTAAAACGCATGAAATGGTAACATATTTGACTTCTACTCAAAATGGCACAAAACAAAGTTCATATAATTTCCCTGTTTTTAAACTAAATGACAGCCCCAAGGAGCTGCAGACCAATCATTTTAACACCCCTCACATGCAACCGTTCTTTCTTGCGCCCATTATTTCCTAGCACCTGCTGTGCAGGCTATAACACAGCTACTTTGGTGGAGAGAGACAAGGTTCTGTTTCAGGACACAACTTAAAAGAACCATCTTCACATTAGAGTTCCAAAGTGCTACAGAAACAGAATATATTTTGCTTCCTTTTTCAATGCTTACTGTAATGTAAATTTTGCAATTCCAGTTCATTTAAGGCATATATTAAAGTTATCATAATTTTTCTGTTCAACTTAAGCAGGGCTGTCACTGAGGGTTAGGGGCTGGTGATTTTCCCTGGCTACACTGCAAAACAAGCATGACTGCCCGGCTACTATCATAGGAGACTCAAGGGAGATTATTAAAACCAAAAGAACTTCCTAGCTGTTCAATTCTCCACCTTCTAATTTTGCATTTCCCCGGCAACTTGAAAATGTTTCGTTGTGACAAAATATTTGCAAGAAAAATGACTGGAAACTAAACATGCATCAATGAGCTTTATGCAAGCCCCTTGCGGAAAAAAGATAATCAATTTAATAAGAAAAAAAAAACACACAAAAACAAAAACACTGTTTTTTTGTCTGCATAGTCCTTACCTGTGTGGGATAGTTTAGATAATTCAAGGAGGTATTGGATAAGCCCATTGTGGCCACTGTTAAAAATGCTAAAATGGAATATGTTTTCAGAGGAATCCTATGGATTAGAAAGAAACAACAAAGTTCTACTCATAGATACAAACAAACACGCTTGTCCTAAGATGCAGGCAATATAAAAGTGAATACCAGTTTTCACTCTTGTGAATGAACAAAATATTCACAAACATGAAGCCTGAAGCTCAAGAGAAACGATTTGCATAGTAAAAAGAAAGACTTTGTGAATCATTCATTCAGCAAGTGAATGATCCCCGAGATGAAGTTGAGGGAAACATCAGGACTCTTGGGAAAACAATACTAACTGCTCCCTCTGGACCTGAGATTAAGTGTATAATATCCAATTACTTCATTTCAAGTAGAACTTCAAGAATCTATACATGTATATTAAATGGGAGAAACCAAACGTTAATCAACAGGTGAAACACATAAAACTGACTTTCTCCCTACAGGTCCCTTAATGTTACAGTTAAGCCAGGTCAAGTGTACCCCCCAAGATTCCATTACACTGTAATGAATTTACTATTCGAAAGATGAGTCCATTAGTCATTGCTGCAACCAGTATCAAATTCAAATCTACATTCTTACATGATTGCATAATTAGTACTGAATTTTTTACAATAACTTCCCCGTATTTGGTCAGACTGAAATATCTTTGAATGGACAAGATTACTTCGAAGAAATTTACAT